GATCTGCGAGTTTAGTGCAAAAACGCATGATCGCACCGGAGAGCCTGGTGCGTTCCAGCCTAGGTTTAATCACTGACGACGCGCACCAGGCAGACTCATGCAATCATGCGTTTTTACAGTATTTCGTGCTGTAGTTAGATCGCTTGCTTGGAATCCCAGCAGCTAGAATTTGTGAAATACTGATTCTCGAAGTTCAGGAAGTTAATTGTGCAAGCCCGTGGCACTTGGGCAAGGAACATCCCGTTAAAATTTCAGCTTTTCAGCTTTTTTGGCTCCCGAGTTAGCAAATTTCCCACCAAAAACTCTCACGGGCCTGTACGTGAGAACCATATACACTTGAAGGCTGAATCTGAAATCTTCAAATTGTTCGTGAGCTGGGAACACACCTTAAAACTTCAGCCTTCCAGCCTTTCTGGTTTTCGAGTTAGCGATTTGCCCACCAAAACTTTTACGTGCACGTCCGCGAGACCCAGATATGCGTGAAGGTTGGCATCGCTGTCCTGGGGTGGCACTTGGCCAGGAAACCCTCTGGCAAAATTTTAGCGCAGGAGCTTGTTTGGTTATTGAGTTGAAATACCTCGACAGACGCACACAAATACACAAACACATGCACACAGGGGTCGTCACAATATGCTTTTTTGCATTTGCATATTTGCAAGAACGTATAAAAACCAGTGCTGATCTTGCCGTGCAACAATACAAAATTAAACCAACCTGATTTCTGTATCCAAGAGTGAGCTGACCCAAAAGAGATCTAGCAAACGGCATGCATCGCGGTTCACCATTATTATGTGTAGGAGGAAAATGAGGATCGCCATGCTCGATGGGTATCGGGAAGCAGTGTACGGATAAAGTTTTTGCGGAATCACACCGGCTGCAGTTCAGTATGGTATTTCCGGGACCTGTCAATAAGTATGTCACACAACAGGTGACGAACGGTTGCGAGTATGGAAATTTTTGATAAGTTAAGAAAGTGAAGACAGTCAGTACGTGAAAAGACGATTGCACTGAGGGAAAGGTTAAACAAAAGAGGTCAATTAACAGCGCTACAATAAAACTGAATTTTGTACAGACCTCTGGAAACCGGAGAATGTGCGAAGTCGTGGTCAATTATTTGCCCTATCTGCATCAGCATATGCGTGTACTTCACATGGAATATTGGTGCGTCCGCATGCACTGCATTGGATATTGTCCGTGCCGATGCTAACTTACGTCCATTACGTCCGACTGTTCGTGGGCTGTCGAAACCTGCAATATCAGCGCAAAATGGTTCTCATATTTATAAGTAGTGCCGCAGTTTCAAGATACTCTTTTTCTGCGATGTAATCAGGACTCGAATAGGCCTTTGCTTCGGCCCAAAATTTATTCATGCATTTCAGCTGTTGCCTCAGACTTAACTGAGCTAGCAACTACAACTCTCATTAAGCATCACAGTAGCTAATCTCGTTAGGAATTTCGAGTTGTAATCAATCAAATCAGCTAGAGGGAATTCACAAGAACTAGTAGTCAGAGGCATATTTAGTTTGTCCGGCGTTAGAGCAACCACTCCCGGTCAACAGAACTGGCTCTCGTCCTCTCCCTGTCCTTCCATGTGAAATAAGCAGCTCTTATTTTGTTATCCATCCTTTAAAAAAAGTATTTGGTCAGTTTCCTAGGACAATTTTTTTTCTGCAAAATAACATTTTTTCACCAGTTCCATTACCACAGTTTCTTAGTTAGGCCTCTGTCAAATGACCAATTATTTCGTCTTTCTGCGGGCTTTCAGTTCCTTGAGCGTTACTTCCGCATCTTCTAGCTAATTTACCATCTGAATGAATTTTGTAGTTCTCTAACTCCTGCTGCTCAGTTGACGAAATACATTGCGCCCATCTTTTTAATTAAATGTTGCGTTTATTTTATGAAATTTTTGCTGCCCTACTAAAATTTTCCTCCCAGATTGGCTCGTTTTAGCACTATCAAGCTAAATTTTTCTTCCTTTAACATGAGTTCTGCCTTTCTTTGCCTTCGAAAACTTCCTCACTGTAAAAAGCAAACACATCGCTTGTCTCTCTCGCCCTGAGTATGCCTCTGATATGCAGTATTTTGCTATATTTTTCCTAAAAAATAAGTATATGCCTGGCGTCTGAACAAGTCCATGGATTATACTAAATTGATGCGAACGTAAAGCACTTAGTATAACATTAAGCCGTAAAAACTACCGACTTTGTCTGTGCAAATAATATGGTACTATTATCGTAATTTGATGAAGCGAACATTACCGTCGTCGTAAACCGGATCCAGTAGGCGACGCATAGGCGCAAATGCATTGCCGTAATGAGGGAATTTCAGATTATTACACCATCCCGAGAATGTGCGGTATTTGCTGGTATGATCACACGGTAAAGGCTGAGGTAGGCACTCCTCCTTCGTCGGTTTCTCTTCCCCCAGGAAATCACTGATGTTTCCGACAAATCGTGAGACATCAACTTCCGGAAGCAGTCGCTGTAGTGTGGCCAGATCCAGTTCTGCTGGTAAACGTTCTCGCTCACTAAGTCCATCACTAAATCATTTGCACGATACAAGAAGCGTTAGCTCAGTCAACTGGCTAAAGAGAAAAGATCCTCTTTTTTAAAGAAGCATTGTCTATCAAATACGGAATTCCCGAACGTCTTTTCTTTTTTCTTACGTTGATCTCCTGCAGCATCTTATTATCTTACAAGAGCTGCTCGCAGTAGGAACTATGCCACTTGACGTGAGAAAGCACCGAGAAAGCAAATGTGAAAAATGAGTTATTGAGAATCGGTAGTGGAGTACTTTTTAAACTGATCTTCAAGAAATCATTTACTACTAAAAATAACAGTGAAACACAAAAATGAATACCAAAACAATTCAATTATTTTTAGCAAAAA